TCTTAAATGATAATCTCTGTGACTGTGACATAAGTAAACTTTCCCTCCTTCTCCTTTTTCACTCTTATAGTTGCCAACACCGTCCTCTTCTAATACCTCCCTGCTCTCATCCACCTGGGTGGGACTGCTCTCATGTGGCTCCATCGTTAACCAGCTAGTCGTAGTCTCTACAATTGCTTCTCTTTCTGCACAGTCACTCTGGTGTTTCCCAAAGATCTATCCTTGGAGCACTTGTATTTCTCATTTATATGCTACCTGTTGGCAAAGGCACAACGCTAGTTTCCACTAACACCCAGATCCACCTAATACCACTTCCCTCAAATACTTAACTGTTGTTAAATTAGCAGACTGTTTTATGCAACATCCAACACTGGATGACCAAATGTTTCCTACAATTGAATATTGGAAAGACTGAAGCCATTACTTTTGGTGCTCACTTCAAACTATATTCCCTAACTATTGACCCCATCTCTCCATGTGGCAATAGTCTGTTTAAGCCTGTGTTTTGCAATGGTGTCACAGTTGATCTAGAAATGATCTCATATTCATGTCACTTCTAAGACTGTCTTTTTCAACCTCCAAAACACGGCTCAACTTTGCTCTTGTTTCAGTCCAACTGATGTTGAAACACTTCCCTGTACCTTCAATGTCTCCATACTTGACTCTCCCAGCGCATTTCAAGCTGGTCTCTCATATTCCACCCTCAGTAAACTTGATAAAATAAATTCTGCCACCTGGTTCTTAAGTTGCAGCAAGCTCTGTTCCCCTGTCACTCCTGTGTTTGCTGACCTTCTTTAGTCCCTGGTCAAATAATGATTTGATTTAAACATCATCATCCTGGTTTTCAAACCCTTTCATGACCTTGCTCCGCCCTTTCTTGGGGATCTCCCTTAAGCCCATAATTCTCAGAGATACCTGCACTCCTCAAATTCAGGCCTCTAATACATTCCCAATTATAATTGCTCCAGTATTGATGGCTGTGTCTTTAGTTGCCTACACTCTAAACAAGTGAAGGGATGACCATTTAATCAGATTATAGGTCATCCCTTTGCTTGTTATTCAGCTGTTGACACTTTACTCACACCGTCTGACATTTCTGATCACCTGCAGGTACTTATTATTCGACACTCCACTCACACCATTTGCATGATCTTTTGATCTCTCTGCCCATAAATTCTGTGTCTGTGTGGGCCCCTCTCACTTCACCTGATGAAGGGACTAACATTCCAAAAGCCTGTGATTTCAAATAAACCTGTTGGAATTTAAACTGGTATCATGTGACTTCTGACTTTGTTCAATAATGATAAATTATGTTTAAAATGCTGTATATGTTGTTATAGACAGCTTCCTTAATTCTTTTCTCATTATATTTTAGAATATAGAACATTACAGCACAGTACAGGCCCTTCGGCCCTCGATGTTGCGCCGACCTGTGAAACCAATCTGAAGCCCATCTAACCTAAACTATTCCATTATCATCCATATGTTTATCCAATGACCATTTAAATGCCCTTAAAGTTGGTGAGTCTACTACTTTTGCAGGCAGGGCATTCCACGCCCTTACTACTCTCTGAGTAAAGAACCTACCTCTGACATCTGTCCTATATCTATCATCCCTCAATTTAAAGCTATGTCCCCTCGTGCTAGCCACCACCATCCGAGGAAAAAGGCTCCCATTGTCCACCCTATCTAATCCTCTGGTCATCTTGTATGTCTCTATTAAGTCACCTCTTAACCTACTGCTCTCTAACGAAAACAGCCTCAAGTCCCTCAGCCTTTCCTCATAAGACCTTCCCTCCATACCAGGCAACATCCTGGTAAATCTCCTCTGCACCTTTTCCAATGCTTCCACATCCTTCCTATAATGCGGTAACCAGAACTGTATGCAATACTCCAAGTGCGGCCGCACCAGAGTTTTGTACAGCTGCAACATGACCTCATGGCTCCGAAACTCAATCCCTCTACCAATAAAACCTAACACACCATACGCCTTCTTAACAACCCTATCAACCTGGGTGGCAACTTTCAGTGATCTATGCACATGGACACCGAGATCTCTCTGCTCATCCACACTACCAAGAATCTTACCATTAGCCCAGTACTCTGTATTCCTGTTACTCCTTCCAAAGTGAATCACCTCACACTTTTCCACATTAAACTCCATTTGCCACCTCTCAGCCCAGCTCTGCAGCTTATCTATGTCCCTCTGTAACCTGCAACATCTTTCCGCACTATCCATAACTCCACCAACTTTGGTGTCATCCGCAAATTTACTAAACCATCCTTCTACGCCCTCATCCAGGTCATTTATAAAAATGACAAACAGCAGTGGCCCCAAAACAGATCTTTGAGGTACACCACTAGTAACTGAACTCCAGGATGAACCTTTCCCATCAACCACCACCCTCTGTCTTCTTACTGTTAGCCAATTTCTGATCCAAACCGCTAAATCACCCTCAATCCCATGCCTCCGTATTTTCTGCAATAGCCTACCGTGGGGAACCTTATCAAACGCTTTACTGAAATCCATATACACCACATCAACCCTCATCCACCTGTTTGGTCACCTTCTCAAAGAACTCAATAAGGTTTGTGAGGCACGACCTACCCTTCACAAAACCGTGTTGACTATCCCTAATCAAATTATTCCTTTCTAGATGATTATAAATCCTATCTCTTATAATCCTTTCCAACACTTTACCCACAACCGAAGTAAGGCTCACTGGTCTATAATTACCAGGGTTGTCTCTACTCCCCTTTCCTGTTTTCTTTGCACCCTCAATGTGCTGTTTTATTCTGAGGATCCACAACCTGTGATTCCTGAAGAACACTAATTCCATAAATCCGTGATGATTTGCATAGAGAGAGGGACTTTGACACAGATTTGACAGACTCAACATCACAGAAACACAAACAGAAATCAACTGTTTTTCATGCTGAACTACTTAGATTAAGAACAGCAGCACTGACACAGCTGCTCTTATTCACCTCAGTCAAAAGATAAAGGGCCCCTAAAAACTAGATGAAAACTCAAGCTGTTAAACTCTCTTCAAATAAAGCAATAGTGCACCATTGTTGAAATGCTGCTTCATTGGATCAGTAAGAGCTCCAGTAAAATTACTCAAGACGACATTTTTCAATTTGTGCCAAGTTGAGTAAAGATGTGGAAAGATTGTTTTAAATTAAATTCCTCACTTGGGTTAGTAACATTTGATTTGATTGCTGGAACTGACAACATTCATGCTGAATTCTTCTAGATTCTTTAAGACAATGTTTTGAAAGGTTCTACTCGATTAAATGAAACATCAAGTTCACTCTGACTGATTCACAGGTACATTTAAAAAAAATTCACAGATGTAGGTGTCGCTGGCTAGGACAGCACTCATTACCTAAATCTAATTGCCCAGAGGATAGTTAAGAAACTACCATATTGCTATGGGTCTTGAGTCACGTAAAATCTAGATCAGATTTTCTTCTCTAAATAGTATTAGTGAACCAGATGGGTTTCCAACAATTGGCACATTTCATGGTAATCATTAGACTCTCAATTCTAGATTCCTATTGAATTCCAATTTCACTGTCTGCTATGGTGGGATGCAAACCCGGATCCCCAGACATTACTTGGATCTCTAGATTAATAGTCTAGTGATACCACTTCTCGGCCATTGCCTCCCCTTATCCATAAATTTAAAACTGAATTGAAATTGTGCATAAACACTATGTGTTACTTTATTAAAATTATTTAATTTGAGTTATTACGTAACTGAACTTATTGCAAACATAAACAACTCAGAGCAGTGGAATGGCTTCTGAAAAGCAATACCGTGCTAAATTTAGTGCTTTTATTTTTATGTCAGGCAAATATTTCTTTGAGCCTTCCAGTTAATAGGCCATTGATGCTGGTGTATGGTTCCTACAAATTCACAGAATCACAGAATTCCGACAGTGCGGAAGCGGGTCATTCTGCCCATCAAGCCCACACCTACTCCATCCCTGTAACCCTGTATTTCCCATGGCTAATCCACCTAGCCTGCACGTCTTCGGGCAGTGGGAGGAGACCAATGTACCCTGTGCAAACCCACAAAGACACGGGGAGAATGTGCAAACTCCACACAGACAGTCACCCGAGGGTGGAATTGAACCTGGGTCCCTGGCACTGGAGGCAGTGCTAACCACTGAGCCACCGTGCTGCCCAAATTAGTGGGAGTTTTACAAAAAAAAGGGATTAAAAAGCATTAAGGAAAACATTTTGTGATTTGTCAAAAGGCTTCTTGTTGTGATGACATCTACCAATTTAACAAGAGATAGTAGGAACTGCTGATGCCGGAGTCTGAGATAACAAGGTGTGGAGCTGGAGGAACACAGCGAGCCAGGCAGCATCAGAGGAGCAGGAAAGCTGATGTTTCGGGTCGGGACCCTTCTTCAGAAAGGACCAATTTAACGATCCTTTAAAACAGACAGGTGAGACCCAGATTTGAAATAATTTCCAACAGACTCAATTTCAGCTCTTAGGGAGAAGAGGGTGTGGTGTGAGTCACCCAGGAAATCCCAAACACAGCAGAGGTATTTGAATTTAGTGCTGAATTCAGATGGATAATGTTTTAGTTGGTCCAAGGGTCTAACCCACAGGGTGGAAGTCACAAATGCAGCACTATATTTAGATGCTCTCAAAGGCTGATGAAGTTCCATGATCTGATATTTTCTAAATTCCTTATTCATGAAAGAAAATCAATTGAAATAGATGAGAGCTTTTAAAAATACCTTTGTCAGGTTGCTTGGACAGGCCAACAGCTGTAGGTTAGAAAACAAATGACCATCGGCTCATGCAGTTTCAATAGAGGTACTATTCTGGCAACTGTTGTCATGTCATTATGAATCCTTGACTGAGTTTCAAAAAGCTACACTTATTTCAGCAAAATACATTGGGACACTGCAAACTTTACAAAATTATTTAAAGATTGTGCGACCAGTTACAAAGCAAAAAACAAAATCATACCAACCAGGGTACAGAATATGCATTGACATTGTGATAATGTTGTCATTTGCTCCAATGGATATTCCCCAAGGCACAATTTACAAGACACGAGGGGATCCAGTGCCAGGTCCCAGGTAGGCCTATATCTTGCTGTTGTCATTCTAAGCTGAATCTGGAAGAGAGAAAAAAAGTGAATTGTCTGCAATTTAAACAATTTAATTGACAATGGTCTTCCACTACCAAACAATAAGGAAGAAAAGCACATTAACAACATCAGTAATGAGATACCGACAGTCTGATAGCAATCAATTATATTAACAGCTGTTGTTTTATTTGAATGCCTTTGTAATGGAGTTTACATAATGCGCCATGGCGATAAAAGCTGCATTTATTATTTTGTAGCTTGCATACCAGATCTATCAACTGTTGAAAGCATGATCTTACTACTTTGAGCTAAATGTTCCCATTTTCAAAAAGAAATTGATTACTTCAAATAATTGGCAAGTATTCTACAATTTCACAGTGCTGTGAAACAAGCAACTTCCCTTTATGAAATCCTATCATGGGATCTTGCACCCCAGAGGGAGTTCATTCAGCAAATTTTTCATGTGCCAGCTCTATGGAAGAGTTAACCATTTAGTTCCATGACGCCTGCTCCTTTCCCATAGTCCTACAAATTTCTCCCTTTAAAGTATTTATCCAAGTCTTCTTTGAAAGTATGACAAAATGTGCTTCCACCACCCTCTTAGTCAGTAAATTCTTCATCAAAATAATTCACTGTGCCATCTCACCTGTGGCTCTTCTGTCAATTATCACATCTATGTCTTCTCTGACCGGCCCTTATGCCAGTGAGAACAGTTTTCCCTTAGTTACTCTGGTTAAAATTCTTCATAAATGTTGAATGTCTCTGTTAAGTCTCTACCTAAATCTTCTCTACTCCAAGAAGAAATGCGCAGCATCTCCAGCCTCACCACAGAACTTAAATATCTCATTCCCTGGAATCACCTCAATAAATCTTCTCACCTTTTCCAAAGCCTGGACATTCTTCCTGACATGCAGTGTTCAGAATTGGTCACAAAATGCCAGCTGAACCCTTGATACTGTTGTTCATAGGTTTAGCACAGGATCCTTGCTACTGTATACTATAGGCTAGACCTTGTATTTCCCAGCTGGATGAAAAAGGTAGAACGGAGAGCGAGTGGTTCACTCCCTTCCTGCCCTACATCTGTTCAGTTAATCATTAGATGTGCAAAGAGGGGCTCCACACCCAGCTGGGGAACTAAACTGAGACAGCTTAGGGATTATACAGCAAATAGGAAAACAATTATGGCTACAAATATAAAGGTTCCCACTTCTCTGAATCTGTCTTCATTTTCAGTTGAAGAAGGAAAAAAGAGAGTGAACTCAAGAATGATACAGATGTTGCCCACCTTTACCAGCAGACTTTGCTGCTAAATGCAGCCATGGTCCCAGCGACAGACCTTTCCCTCCACACTTCTACAACCTCTGACTGGTGTGTTGATGGTGTGTCGATGGTGTGTCATATTACTGTTCCAAAGTCATGGGTTATGTTTAATGTTTGGGCTTGTTTAATGTTTTATCTATGTTTGACACCTCCACTGTCAGTCTGTGCCCAATTCACTTAGCTCAAATTGGGTGGCATTAAAAGAAGTGGAAATTACAATTAGCCTCTCTATCTCAGAGAAGGTTCAACAACAAGACTGTATTGAAAACTATTAGGGAATTTGACAGTGTAATTCAAGAAAAAAACATTCCACTAGGTATTGAGTTAGTACCTAAAGGCATAAATAGAATAACTTTTTTCTATACTTTTTCCAATGGTTTCAGATACCACCTAAATTGTGGTGCCCAGAATCAGATACAATACTCCAACTGAGATGGAACCATTGTTTTATAAAAGGTTCACCATAATTCCCTAGCTTTTGTAGTTCCATCCTTGGCTCCTACACCCGCCTCTAGGATTGTATCTTTATTTTACATTGCGTTTCCTCTTTTTTTCCAACCAAAATGTATTACTTCAAAAGTTCTGCATTAATTTTCATCTGTCAATCATTCCATCAGCTGATACATTCTTGAAGTTTATCCTTACAGTTTAAAATAATCCCAAGTTTTGTGTTATCTGCAAATTTTCACACTGTGCCCTGAAAACCCAATTCTAACATAAAATTAATATTGATAAAGACATGCGCTGGTTCTAATATCAACCCCCAAAGAACCTTGCTATATCTCTTCTTCTAGTCTGAAAAACAACTGCTTTCCACAACTCAGTTTCCTGTGTCAGAGCCAAATTCTTATCGATGATGTCACTGTTCCTTGATATCCGTGGAGTTCAACTTGCTGACAAGTTTACTATGCGGCACATTATAAAAATGCCTTTTAGATTTTCACATGCATAACTTGTCCTTATGAACCTTGTTACCTCATCTAACAGCTTCATGAAATCACTAACACCATTTATCCTTAATAAGCCTGTGTTGGTCTTACTTAATTAATCCACTTTTATCTAAGTGATCATTAATTTTTTCCTGGGCTATAATTTCTGATAGCTTTCTTACCTTTGAGTTTAAACCGACTGATCTGTAGTTGGTAGATTTATCTGTACACTCCTTTTTGAATAAGGGTCTAACATATACAAATAAAAATACATTATGTACGACCCTATTAAATGTCTGATCCCACAGGCTACAACTACCTCTTGGTACTTTTATTGTTTGCAGTATCATTTCTGATTATTTGTTGAACCATTTTCCTGTGGCTATTTAAAAGTCCAGTAAATAATTATATAAATCATTTTTACTCATATATAAATTCCTTAGCAATAATCCAAATTCAGCTTCAGTAATCTACTTACTGATGGACCAAGTTCCAAACGAGTTGGTGAACAAAGAAGTCATTGGTGGCTGATCTTAAACATAACATGAAACTGACCTGAAATTGACAAGTAAACAGTTGTAAAAACAAATGTTTTGATTATTTTCTGAGTCACACTACAATAATATCATGAATTGTCCAAACCCAAATGTTCTGCACAGTTTGTTTCTCCAAAGAGTGAGCTTACATTACTCCTATATACAGCTGCTTCATTAATACAATCACAAATAAAGATTGCCAAATATGTTTAATGTAGAATGATGCTTTACAAAAGGATGACAGAAACTAATTTTATAAAACATTACAAATCACGACATAAACCAATCTAAAATGTCAATATTTTCAAGTGCAGAATTATATTGCTTAACTTGAATCACCAAATAATCTTATTCTTCTAAATGTGAAGACTCAACTATCCGAGAATGATAAAGAACATAGGAAGAACATCCAGATGATCTTACCTCCGTCAAATCTTAGAACAATGAAGTTAACTTAATTTCTTTGCCATTCCACCATAATGCCATTTCCCGTAAAGTATCAATCCAATCACACTTTGAAAGATATTATTGAATCTAAACTTATCTTTTCATTCTGGATCGTAACAACAGGCTGTGTTAAAAAAAATGCTCACCCCACCTCTGGTTCCTTCACCTTAAATCTACTTCCTCTGATTACCAACTCTTCTGTTGTTGAAAACAGTTTATCTGCTTTACTTTTTCAATGATAGTTGATGATTTTTGATACCACTATTACATTTCGTTTAACTTTTTTCTTCTACGTGAGGCAAACTCCAGCTTTTCTCTAACTGAAGCTCCTCTGTCCTGATGTGATCCTTTTAAATCTGCTTCCACGTACTTGGCTTTCTTCCTAAAGAATTCTGTCCAGGTGAGACCTAACCAGTTTTTAAAAAAAATTGTTCATAGGATGTGGGCCTCATTGGCTAGGCTAACATATATTTCCCAGTGGGCAGTTAAGAGTCAAGCACATAGCTGTGGGCCTGAAGTCACATGTTGGCCAGACCAGGTAAGGACGGCCGTTTCCTTCACTAGAGTACATTAGTGAACCAGGTGGGTTTTTCCTAACAATCAACAACGATTTCCTATTCATTATTGGACTTCTCATTCCAGATTTCCTTTTTGAATTCAAACATCGTCATCTGCCATAGTAAGACTCAAACCCAGAACATTACCTCAGTCTCTGGACTAATAGGTCTAGTGACAATACTGCTAGGCCAATGCTTCCCCAACATTCCTTTTTGCTTTCTGTGCCAGTTTATAAAGCCAACGATTCTGTAAATTTTGTTTAAGAATAAGCCTTCTCAGCTTGCTCTTCCAGCTTCAAACATTTATAAAATACGTGTCAGTTTTCTCTGTTTCTGTAATCCTTAAATCGCATAAATTCAAATATTACTCTTTAATTCTTTGTACCAAAATGCATTACCTTGCACCTCTCTGCATTAAACTTCATTTGCCATGTGGTTGGCCATTTCACCAATCTAAAGCCCCCTGAAGTCAGGAATAACTGATTTATTAGGAAAAGACCAAATTCACAGAACGTTATGACTTATAATGAAAAAAAACAAAAAGTTAACTGTCTAACCATCATTTCAATAAATTAAAAAATTAAATTATGTTTCTTGTATTTTGAATGAACGAAGTAAAAATTAACAATATGCTTTGTAGAGTAGGCTCAAATATAATTTCTACTTTTTGAAATCCAAGATTCAAATCTGATATTATTCTTGTTCAAAATTTATCACCCTAACCAACCCGAGCACAGGCTGTTTGATTTTCGGCAGCTACCTTTTTTTTTAATTTTTAGGGGGCTCCTTTTTCGTTAACTCCTTCACTAAGGGCCAATGTCACTTAGTGACAATAACTCCTGTACTTGTGTGGATAAATGGGGAATTTTGATTTACATAGAAGCAGAATGGAAGAACTGACCAATTTTCCCATTCCCAACAGTCTTCACCACCGTCTTAAACTTAAATCCATAATATAAGTCATAGAGTCATACAGCATAGAAACAAGTCCTTTGGCCCACCATTACAATGCCCACCAACAAACACCAAGCAACAGTAAGCTCATTTACCTGCCTTAGTCCACAGCCTACGATGCCCTAGAATTTTAAGTACTCATCCAGATGCTTCTTAAAGGTTGCCTCATTATCCTGTCAGGCACCACTTTCCAAATATCTACTACCCACTGGGTGAAAAATAAAAATTCTCAAATCTCTAAACCACTTGCTCCTCACCTTAAACTTATACCCACTGATCTGAGGCACGTTTGCCAGAGGTGAGAGATTCTCACAATCTACTCTGTCTATACCTCTCATAATTTTGTATACCTCAATCAGACTCCCCCTGCTCCAAAACAAACCCAGCCTTTCCGGACTCTCCTCTTAACTGAGACTTTTCATCCCAGGCAACAAGGAAAACATTAATTTCCTAGGTACACAAACTATTTAAACTGCCACGAAATAACAGGCATAAGTTAGCACCAAATGCTTTTCTTCAAAATATGGCAAGCTATCGACCAAAGTACATCACCCTAAATTACATTTCCTACAGACTGGTGCAGTCATGGAGAAAATATAGCACGTTTGTCTCTCATAGAGACACTGCAATCCCAGTAATTCACAATGTGGAGGTGCCGGTGTTGGACTGGGGTGGACAGTGTCAGGAATCACACCACACCATGTTATAGTCCAACAGGTTTACTTTAAATCATAAGTTTCTAAAGTGCTGCTCCTTCATCATGGCACTTCCCTCCACTTCATCTGAAGAAGGAGCAGCGCTCAGAAAGCTTATGATTTTAAATAAACCTATTCGACTATACCCAGACAAGTAATTCACAGAAGACACATTTTAAAATGGGATAACACATGAATACAAATTTATTAAATAAAACTGTTCAGTATTAAATGACACAATTCACAGAGAGTTCATTACAATAACATCCACCACACTTCCCCTTTATATTGCAGCGCCAGAACTCCTGCAGTATTCATTTAGAGACTCCACATGTATTTGCAAGGAATTCGTTAACTTTGGTTTTCCAGTTTTGTGGTGAGTGTTTCCTTTTCTGAAGAGTTTGAACCTTTGTGGGTTCTCCACCCAACCCTGTTGCTCTCTCTCCACTTTGCCACCTTACTGTACCCTCAGCACTCAGGCTCTTGGCCTTACTCCCAACCTCAGATCTCACCTTGACTTCTTGATCCCGTTCTTTGGTCTTACTGACTGGTCTCGTGCCTCTGCTCAGCAGCTTCACTCCTCATCCTGTTCTCACTTCCTCCAGCCTTGCTGACAGCTGCCATTCACCATGACCCTCCAATCATGGAATAGTTTCTCTCACGCTTGCTGCCGACAGGTTCACAATGAACTTATCAAGAACAGGCACAGGAGTAGACATCATCTGACTGGAGGAGTGGTTTCCTATCATTTCCCTGCATTGATCTTAAGAGGTGACTTTTTTCATAACTACTTAGGAAGTCAAATCATACAAAGTCTACAAGTCACCTCACTTCCAAAACAGACTCCCTACTGAACTAACACTTTTACATGTCTGGGTTCACAGCCAAACATGCATCATGAATGCAATAACTAACATCAGTGGACCTTGGTTAAGCAGCAAAATAAAGCAATTCAGAATATACCTTAAAGTTTTGGCCATTGCTACAGCTAGTAGTTAGCTGACCGAGATTATTGGAATTCAGTTAAATTAATTTTTGTCTGATACAAATCGTAATTTGTAAAACTTGTCATTGATAAACTTCAAGTAAGAGTTATTTGATATAACTGTTTACTAGTTTGCATTTTTAATGACTAAAAAATTAGCATTCAGACGACATACCTATTTTGATCCAGTGTTGTCCAATAAGATTTCAATGTTCACTAAATTAATGGAAATAAAGTCATCAAATGTGCGAGGGCATGATATAAACTGTACGCAATGTGAAGAAAACTGGGTAATTTTTTTGGACACAGTTTTCAGTTTTAAACCATCAGCAATATCCTCCTTTCTCTGGCAATAGTCTTTAAAAGGATTTTGGAATTCTACAGTTCCATAAAGCAAGCTGCATATCCTGCTGCAAACACAATCTGTTGCCTGAAGTGTATGGTTTCTGACTGTTTGCTCCAGTTTATTAAAAAATATCAAGAGTAGACGGTCTTGATTTAGGTCAGATTGATACATTATGAGACTCAGGAAGGGAAAAGACAAGAACTGACAACTCCCTACATTTCGGCTTCTGACTCTTGCCTTAAAACACACTGTTGCCAGGCAATGACAAGGAGGATATAGACATTTAGTATACCTTTGGCAAATTGTCAAACTTCTGTAATTTCTCTTTTAACGCCAATAGCAACCTATACATTTCAATAACTCATTTCAACAGGTCTATTCAGAAGGCTGAACATATTTAGATGTTGCTGGAGCATCCCACCTTTCCAAAATTGCACATTTCAATCTTCACTGATGTGCAATGCAGTACTATTTGCTTCTTGTGTACATCAATCAATCTTGCAAAAATGATCAACTGTTAGTTGAACAAAGCCAAGTCCTTCCGTTAGCAGTCCTCACTGGAAACCTTAAGAATATCGAGGGCACAGCCCTTTTGAAGGCCAACTCTGCTTTAAAAGCACTTCACATTTATCTAACAAATCTAAATGCATTGTCATTTATCGAGAGAAAACAGCAAAAGAAGATGTCAAACTATTCTTCTTGTTTCCTGGAGCAAGCTGCCCTTCAACATCGAGATCACGGGAAATCTGACAACTGAACTAGACTCTGATGTAGTCACTGACACCTCTCTTATAGCAACATAGCTGATTCTTTCATGTAGAATTAAGGATGGACAGTGAATAGTAGTCAAGTGAGGAACACCATATTTATAACGACTGCTGAAACTATAACACAACTTAGTACTGTCTGCTTCTTAAAAAGAACAGCAATTTGCTACAAGGCGAATATCTTGGACAATAGTTTTAACTTGACATTACTGGATAGATAGTGCCAACACTGGTGTTGGTCGGGGGGGGGATCCCTGAAAAAAAACAC